ACAAAACATTTGTTCTGCAAAAATTTTTACTTCTTCCATCATACCAATTAACATCTGCAGGGTCATGGCCTTTCATCAGTTAATGTCTATATTCAAAACCACATCAGACACCGATACCGGCATCCACGTGGTGCTGCAGTCGACAAGGAGTAGTTTCACCAAAATTATGTTCATGGTCGGTTTCAGTCTCATTTTCATTTCGATTCTTATTAAGGTGCTTCAATTTCGAGGACCGTCAAGATTAAATATGTATAGAAACTTTGTCTTTTAAACGAGGAAATTTTCTCGACTGCTTCGTCGGCCATCTTGTAGCATAGACAATAATGTGTAAATGAAGATTATTATTTGGCGGCGTTGCGGAATCCGGAAAAATAGCACGTGCTAATATGCGGATTCTATCTATCACGTGATTGCTATCCGTCTCTACCTTAAAGTCATGGGAAGGTCAAAATCACAAAGTTGGTAAAAATTATGAGTTTAATTACTCTAGAAAACATGTAACTTTGTATGAAGTTTAATTAAAATGATGCAGTTGAATAGCTCTTACAAATTCCTATTGGTGTATGAAGTTTGATGAAAATGCTATAAAAAGTTTCTTCTAAACTGTGCTAATGGTAAAATAATTCATAGCAAGATAAAGGAACACAGAGAAGGTCTAGGTAAAAAAAAAAGTTGACAAAGTCAAATAGCTCTTGTGAATTTACATATTTGATTGAAGTTCAATGAAAATATATTTAACAATTTCTTTGAAACTAAGATAAATGCAAAATGAGGAATAGTAAGGTCAAGGTCATATAAAAGGTCAAAATCCCCAAAATTGTGACATACTCTTAAAGTTCCCACCAATACATATAAGTGACTGTATGAGTTTTGATAAAAATATCCCCTATAGTTAATTTGAAACTAAAATAAGGAAAAGTGAGGCCCAGGTAACAGCGAAAGTCAAGGTCAGTAAATTATGTCACAGTTGAACAGCTCTCATCAATATGTATCAGTGTTACGAATTTTGGTTAAAATACCTTGAACACTTTTTATGGAAACTGAGTTAAATGCAGTGTTATGGGCATACAGAAAGACAGACATGACTAGTCTCTGACCAGTAGAGCTAACAAGCCAAAATGTGTTATATTTGTATGTTTGCTTTACCCTCTTTTGAGAATTTTTTCACTCACTTTTGGGATGCCACCAATTGTATATTTTGCTTGTAGATCAAGTCTTATTGAAATCAGAAAAAAAACTGTAGGAAGAGTAGTGTTTTGAAAGGATTTCAAAGACATTTCTAGTTTTAGCAACCATAGCAACATCCTTAATCTTAATCAGATACCAATTTAATGAATTTATGTATAGTCTATTTGTGTACTAAGTCTTATTGAAAGCTACCAAAAACTGTAAGAAAAAGTAGCATTTTGATAGAATTTCAAAGAAATATCTATTTATAAGTAACCATGGCAACGCTATTGTTGAAATCAGAGACAGATAAATAAAATTATGCATCTTAGTAAAGTCTATTTATTTACCAAGTCTTTATGAAATGAGACCAAAACTGTAGTTGGAGTAGCATTTTTAAAGAATTTGAAGTAAATTTCTAATTTTAGTCACCATGGCAACATCCTTCGTCTTTATCAGAAATCAATATACCAAATTATGTACCTTATGTCTTCTTGTGTGCCAAGTTTTATAAAAATAAGATCAGATTTTTGGAGGAGTAGCATTTTGAAAGAATTTCACCAAAAAATTCTTTTTTAGTAACCATGGCAACACCCTTCATAGGAATCAGAAACACATAATTAAAATTACTTTATTACATAGCTTATAAATAGTCTATAATGAAAAACTACTAAAAATCTAGAGAATTTTAGCATTCAATATCTCGGCGTTATATTGAATGCAGAGTTTGCCTTACGTATGAGTATGCCCGAAACATTCCAAATACGAGCATTTAATATCGAATGCCCAGTTGTAAACAAAAAATGTTGTCTGGTTAACCTCTCAAAGGCAAATTTATGATAGGTAGTGGCAGCTAGGTAAGATGTGTTTATTTTCTCACAAAATTGAAATTATTAAGTAATCAGTTTGTACGTATTAGCCTCAATTAAACCTCAATAAGCAAATCATAACACTTGGTAGGGTCACTGAAATGATGCGATACTGAACACTTAAAGGGCAGACATTAATTTAAACACCAATATTGAAAATTCTTATCAATTTGAATTATTTAATTGAAATAAATAATATAAATCATTGGGAGATGTTTTAGCTATATAAAACATAGGTAATCAAAGATTACGAAGCTCACCTCGACGAATGTTATCAGTAAAAGTAATGCAAATCTCACATCATATTTTCTTTATAGTTAGTGTGCATCCTGAAAACAATATTTATGCAAGTTCTGTGTAAGTAGGTCTTATGATTCATTGGATATTGACCTGTTCCAAAAACTTTAACCTGTTCACTAATCAAGAAAATGTCTTTCATTTCCTACATCCGAAGCAAGTTTGGAATGCACCATCTATGAAAGTTAAATCATAACAGGCCATATAAATAATTATAAAGCTACTCCAAACACATTGTCATGGTTACTCATTTGGAAAATATATGTCAGATCCAGCATCCGAAGCAAGTCTGGTAGTGTCCATCCCTAGATACATCATCCATGCAAGCTTGGTCCAGGTAGGGCTTATAGTTACTTGGGAATGGACCTGCTCCAAAAACTTTAACCTGGTCACTCATCTGGAAAATGTAAGTCAGATTCAGCATCCGAAGCAAGTCTGGTAGTGTCTATCCCTAGATGCATCATCCATGCAAGCTTGGTTCAGGGAAGGCTTATAGTTACTTGGGAATGGACCTGCTCCAAAAACTTTAACCTGGTCAATCTTCTGGAAAATGTAGGTCAGATCCAGCATCCGAAGCAAGTCTGGTAGTGTCCATCCCTAGATGCATCATCCATGCAAGTTTGATCTAGGTAGGGCTTATAGTTACTTTGGAATGGACCTGCTCCAAAAACTTTAACCTGGTCACTCATCTGGAAAATGTAGGTCAGATCCAGCATCCGAAGCAAGTCTGGTAGTGTCCATCCCTAGATGCATCATCCATGCAAGTTTGATCTAGGTAGGGCTTATAGTTACTTTGGAATGGACCTGCTCCAAAAACTTTAACCTGGTCACTCATCTGGAAAATGTAAGTCAGATTCAGCATCCGAAGCAAGTCTGGTAGTGTCTATCCCTAGATGCATCATCCATGCAAGCTTGGTTCAGGGAAGGCTTATAGTTACTTGGGAATGGACCTGCTCCAAAAACTTTAACCTGGTCACTCTTCTGGAAAATGTAGGTCAGATCCAGCATCCGAAGCAAGTCTGGTAGTGTCCATCCCTAAATGCATCATCCATGTAAGTTTGGTCCAGGTAGGGCTTATAGTTACTTGGGAATGGACCTGCTCCAAAAACTTTAACCTGGTCAATCTTCTGGAAAATGTAGGTCAGATCCAGCATCCGAAGCAAGTCTGGTAGTGTCCATCCCTAGATGCATCATCCATGCAAGTTTGATCTAGGTAGGGCTTATAGTTACTTGGGAATGGACCTGCTCCAAAAACTTTAACCTGATCACTCATCTGGAAAATGTAGGTCAGATCCAGCATCCGAAGCAAGTCTGGTAGTGTCCATCCCTAGATGCATCATCCATGCAAGTTTGGTCCAGGAAGGACTTATAGTTACTTGGGAATAGACTTGCTCCCAAAACTTTAACCGGGACGCCAACGCCGACGCCGGGGGTATAGCATAAGCTCATCTCGACTTCGTCAAGGTGAGATAAAAAGGTGTTATTGAACTTATATTGCTGAATATTGGCATGAGTTCGCTGTACAAATGCACAAGCTTTCATTTTGAAAGAATTTCACCAAAAAATTCTTTTTTTAGTAACCATGGCAAAGATCCTTCATAGGAATCAGAAACACATATATAAAATTATTATATAAGTATAGTCTCCTTGTGTATCAGGTTTTATTGAATCAGACTAAAACTGTATGAGAACTAGCATTTTGAAAGAATTTTAGAAATAAGAAATTTCTATCTTAGTAACCATGGCAACACCATTCGTCAAAATCAAAACCTGATATGAAGAATTATGCATATTTGTATAGTCTAACTGTGTATAAAATATAATTAAAATCAGATACTGCAGAAGTAGCATTTTGAAAAAATTGTTTATAGATGGGTAGACAGACAAACTGACCATGGACACCTTATCAATGCGTATTGATCATTAGAGCTAAAAACTGATTAACAGTTAAACTTTGTTATTCCAAACTCAAGGGGACCGAGAAAAAACTTAAAAGAAATTATCGAGGGTACCGTATATACTCGCCTATAAGTCAGTTTTTGGGGAGTTAAACTTTGATCCAAAACTCATGATCCGACTTATACGCGAGTTATAAAAAGACTGGTATTTTAGTGGGTCAATCCCTTCAATTTAAGCTTTAAAATTACAACCGACTTATAGGCGGATCGACTTATAGGCGAGTATATACGGTAAAATACTTTTAAAAGAATAAGTGTTTGGAACTTCCCAATCACTTCGACATATCCATGGTATTCAAGATATCAGTGTTCGAGATACTGAAGTTCAACTGTATTTGTCTCAAATGGTAACTTTAAATATACTAAAGACTTAGATGATCAAATTTTAGTTTAGAACAAGTTCCTACATCTTGGAACTGAGGAAGCAAGTTCAGTAAAAAAAATATCCTCTAGTGACTTATTCCAGATTTTATTCTTAAGAATCATTTAATGTTAGTGTGTGACAAGTTCCTGCAAGAAATAAATTCAGAGTAATGGTCTTAAATGTTTTTTTAAAACATGAGTTTAATGATAAATTTCTCCCATGATTTAGTCCAGATTTTATTTCCATAAATTATTCTTTATTGGAGATAAGTTTTGCTGCGTTGTATCATGTCACCTCTCCAAATTATTGCCGCCGGAGAGATAGCTTCCCCTCTCTAGTGCCTGTTTGATTTAATCAATGTTCTGAAACACTGATATATGAACATAAAACTAATATGTCTGTTAATCTCTGTTAACAGTGTAAGCTATTTTCAGTAACTTAATCAAGCAGTTATTGATGAATATAACATTTCTGCACTTACACTATAACTTGGGGAGCCATTATCCCTAGATATAACTTTGATATGAAATTCTTTACTGTCACTTTCTTCAAAATTGAATTTCACTGATGAGACCAGACTCCCATTGATAATAGAAAACAGTCCTGTGTCATCTTCCATTAGTTCATACTGGAAAACCTGGTGTTCATCCTCATCAATGGTTCTCAGAGCTGTTAATGGCTCTCCTACAAGAAATAAAAGTGAAAATCTCCAGGAAATATTGATATGTGGTGGAGAAAAGAGCTTGTGAGTAAAACTAATCCTCATGACTTTACGTACATAATAATCTTCAAATTTTAAACTTAGTTTGTCAATCTTCAGAATAGGAATGATAAAAGGATAAAGACATTGCCTTGAAAGAATAAATTCCAAAGTGGAAATCCTACAGAAATTGAATAATAGGTCAGATATCTTACAATATTCAAAGGCTAGTCTTAAAAATAATTCCAAAGACAGTCAAAGGAATGGGTGCATTTTTTAATAATCTTAGAATCATGGATATGCAATATATTTCCTTTTACTGCATGTTCTTACTGACAGTATTGACCATATTAATGATTATACTTCAATAAGTTAATGCTCAGCCATGAGATACATTTGACATCTATGATTATAACTGTACTTTCATGTAAATTAGAGTTGTTTCATCAAAATTAAAGCAAACAATTTTATCAATTTTAATATCTAAAATATCATTCCAAACTAACCAGGCTCAACTTCTTCGGGTATGACATTTGGGTCAAGGGTCACCAACACAGGTTTGTCATTGACATCCTTCAAGGTCACAGGGAGGTTAAAATAAGAAATGCCTGGGGGACTGTAGTCATCCTGTACCATCAGTGTGACAAAGTGAACTTTCTGTTCTTCTCTGTTCAACACACAGTATTTACCCCCTTCTGATAGACATAAGGGATCTGACTGCTTTAATACCTACAATCAATTCATACAAATGTTTTTACACCAGCAGAAAAATACCCAGAAAATGATAATCAAGGCAATTAATGCTGAAAGATCACATACATTACATGAACTGTTAGCCTCATGCAATCTTAATTCATTTAATTCTTAGATTACTGTCTATTATCCATTAATTATTGCAGTATTCTTAAAATGTAATCTACAACTAATCACAGCTTTCTCGTAAAAATATTTTAATGCCAACTTTAAAAGGCATCTACAGATCTCAAAGGATGTACACTCCAGAAAGAAAATGTGAACTAGATCATAACTTTGTTAGCAAAACCTTGAGACATAGCTGTGATCCATTAGAGTAAGAGGTGAACATTCTGTGCTCCGAGTCTACAAGCAGCAGAGTAACATTTTGACTTGGATCATCATCCTGTGCACTAAAACATCCAACGTGTGTGTCAGCCATACTGTTCTCTGGTATCATATTTGGCATCAGCTAAAGAAAATTCAAATAAAATTTCATTCTTACTCAAATTTTCTTGTCAAAAATGAGGTAGCCAAGACAAAAATTTTGCATCTTCAATCCCCATGATTTTGACATCACTTAAATGACCTTGGTTAAAGGTCATGATAACCCTCCTGACCATAAGCTACTATTTGACAATATAAAGTTGTTTCATCAAAAGTTATGAGCAAAGTTAAAGTTGCAAACAAACCAAAACCAAATTCCCTTTCCTTTTGAACTTGGGGCCAGAAAAAATTAATTTACCATTGCAGACTTTGGTGGATCATTTTCATTAAGAATTTGGAATTGGAATGTGTTGTCCACATATGCCCCCTCTATGTCTGTACATCTCACTGTCACATTCCATCTTGTATATAAAAAATGGACATCAAAATTAAGTTTACGTTTACATTTTCTTATCATTTTACATGAAATAAATAATAAGCTTTGTTTTTACCTTTTAAATCACGTGAAAGTCAACTTTTACAATTAGTGTGCACTTCGGTTGGTCACATCTTAAATTTAACATACACCAATGTAGTGTGTTCCACATAAGTGAAATGTACGCACATCACAATGTTTACATTTTTAATAAATACATGTGATAAATAAAACATACTTGGTTGGCTTTTCCTCATAGTCTGCCTTTCTATTGAGACAAAGCTTAGAGCCAGAAACTTGGAAGATATTTTTGGGATCAGCAAGGATGGAGTAAAACTGGGCATCATAGGAATCATCGACCGTGCTGAGGTACACACAAAGATCTTTCACATTTTCCTTAATATTTGTATTGTCCACCTTCATCTTCAAAACAAGAACAGTCAAATAAAACAATGGGTCTCCAGGAGCCAGAACTCCTCATCTAGATGTTGCCAAAAATTATACTAAAATACTTGTCTAGACTTGAACTGAAAGTTGTGAAAGATTAACAATTTTCAGGTGGAATAACTTTTATCATGGATGCTGAGTTACATTTGATACACATCTGATAAAGGCCAACTAGCTTACTGTTACCATGCATTATAAAGTCTGCTTACTAAAGAAACTGGGGGGATAAGCCGAGCCATATGCCTACATAACGATGGATAAAAAATCAATAAATTCATTTTACAAAAATTTCACTTTTTGTTGAATTAATGTAATGCTCATTACCATTTGCATATAAATTTGACAAAACCTGAATACTGTAACAGCGAAAATGATTCTGATTAACACAACAAAATGGCATCACGCTCAATTTTCACAGAAACTGACATAAATTGGATGATATAACTATATTTTTTAAATAGAGTGGGTCATCGTACCATTTTTTTGAGAACGATTAATGAAAGGCAATGGAAAGATGTTGCTTTTTACACTTGCAAAAATTTGGTATGAAGACCCACTCTACATAAAAAAATAAGTTAACTAACTTAAATTTTCACCGTGGTCTTAAAAAATTCTAAGTCCGAAAACGCTTCCTAAATATAGAGAACTGTATGCTATTTAAATAGACATGTAAGTGCGACTATGTGGTCTAGTGGTTAGCGAGGAGCTCTTTAAAGTGACCTTTATTAAGGAAAGTGTTCGAGTCATGCTCTGATTTTTTGATTATTATTTTTGGTTTTAATTTTGTTTTACTTTAGATAAAAATGTCTATAGGAATAACATATTTTTCACTGGAAATAAAATATATACATGTAGTAATGAACTTATTTACAGTAAATTATTTAAAATGCCGGATAAAAATTATAATAGATATTTGAATACATTTATTCCCGTTTTTATTTATTTTAAATAAAAGCGCTTCTAGATCACCATTATCATTATATACGATGTTAACATTTTTATAATATCTCCACAATTAGTGTAAACACTCAATATGCAGATTAATTAATAGAAGTCCTTACCCATGTTAGACATTTGTGACAGTAAATGAAAGTCAACTGTTTAGCTTGTTTAGAATATAAATATCATTTTGAAAACTACGGTAAACATTAAAATGCTTAAGTAAATTCGAACAATTGAGAGATTTTTTCCAATAAATGTTCTTGCATAGCCGAAAAATGGGCATGGGCACATGGCTCGTCTTATCCCCCCAGATTCTTTCCCAGAATACTCTAAATTAAATTTTCAATATATGACCAATAAGCCCTACCCTTTGGCCTGAATTCTAATCCAAGGAGAAATGAGTTTACAAGAGGCCCAAGGGCCTAGAATCGCTCTTCTGAAAACTGTACAACCTATAATCTCATCTGTTTTAAGCCTCTTGGTAACCTATATATAAGTATAAAGCCTTAAAATTCTAAAAGAAGGTCAGCATGGCAACAATTGACAAAGTTTGATAACTCCAGGCCAATTAGTATCTGAAATACTTAAATTTAGCCATTAAGTTGCAAAAGTAGGTCACAGTGACCTACTTTTTGGTTGATGCACTCCAAGGATTCAAGATGCATCAACTGACAAAGATTGATGATTCTTAGTAAATAAGTATCAGAAATAGTTATCAAATTCCTAAAGTAGGTCATGATGACACTTTTTGGTTGACACAATCCGGGTACCCAAGATGCATCAACTGACAAAGTTTGATAATTCCAAGCCAATTAGTGTCTGAAATATTTAAATTAAGCCATGAAATTGCAAAAGTAGGTCACGATGACCTACTTTTTGGTCAATACACTCTGAGGACTCAAGATTCATCAACCGACAAAGTTTGATGATTCTATGCCAATTAATATATGAAATATTTAAATTAAGCCATGAAATTGCAAAAGTAGGTCAAGGTGACCTACTTTTTGGTTGACACACTTTGAGGACTCGAGATGCATCAACTGACTAAGTTTGATAATCCTATGCTTCAAAGTGTGCAAAATATGCCCCTATAACAATTTGAAAATAAATACCTGTAAAATTCCAAAAGTAGGTCACTGTGACCTACTTTTTGATAAATCTTTTTTTAAAGCCCCTAGGTGCATCACCTTACAAGGTTTGATGATTCTGGTTCTCTTAGTATCTGAAATAATGACCTTTAATGTTTACAAAATGATAAGCTATAAAACTTAGAAAGTAGGTCATGGTGACCTACTTTTTGGTTGACACACTTCAAGGTCCCATGCTGCATAAACTGACAAGTTTTGAAGACAGTATCCTTCAAACTATCCAAGTTATGCATCAAAATTAAAATGAAAATGAATGCCTGCAAAATTCAAAAAGTAGGTAACTGTGAACTACTTTTGCGTCAACATGATATGAAGTCTGAAGATGCATCAACTGACAAGATTTGATGATCGTAGGCCTTATAGTGGGCAAAACATAAAAGATTAAACAAAATGTAAATTTTGGTCAACTTTGAAGTGACCTTGAGACCATGCCCTTTGCCCCAGGGCGATTCCCCATGCAAATTTTAATCTACAACATATCCTCATCCTTGTATGTAAGTTTAATCTGCCCAGTGGTTCTCAAGAAGATTTTTAGCAACCATTACTTTTGTTTTTATTTCCCTATTTACCCCCCCTTGTTTAAGGGACAGATCCCTAGTTTTAGTATAAATGAAAGCCCTTGGGCCAAGGATACTCCATGAAAAATTTGAAAAAATTGACCAAGGGGTTCTTCAGATATGGCCCTTTTCCAAAAAGTTGCACAAATGGCCATGGCATTAGCTCTTTGAGCCTTTGGTTCAGAAGAGCTAAAAATCTTGGAAAAGACCTAGCTGTTTATGAGAAATCATGCAAAAGTTTGTCTGATGGTATATCCAGGAGAAAAGAAAAAGATTTTCAAAGATGTTTTCAAAGATGTGATATCATTTCAATACATGACCTACTTATCCCCATCTTTGGGTCTGACCCATGGAATTAGGGGCCATAAACTTAACAATTCTAACAAAAGATTTCGTACTCATTGTAATCAAGAAAATGGTTTGTCTGCTAGATGTCCACAAGAACAAAAAAAATACATGACAAACTTCGTCCACCCAGGGACCTGCATTCTGAACCAAAGGAACATGAATTTTACAATTTTTATTATAATAATGCGAACAGTTTGCTGACTGGAAAGTTTAGAAGTACTGAAGAAAATTTTTAAAAATATAATGCAATCAAAATACAGTTTTGTTCCTAAGACCCGAGGACCGGGGAATATCATAATGACATTATCCCCTGGCTACTCTGGTATCCCCCCTCAACCAGGGAGGAACCCCAGACCTTCTACTTTTTTTAATGTCCCCTCCTATTTCAATTCTTAAGGACAACCCTGAAATATGATAAACTTTCTCCCTACCATGGGATCTCAACCAATGTTACGTGGATTTCAATAGTTTCTTAATGCTTTGCATGCTCATTATAGTTTGCCTGCTTGATGTCAATGAGTAAAGAAAATTTTCTAAAATACATTGCACTTTCAAAACATGATTGTAAGCCAATAATGGAATGAATAAAAGAGAGAAAAGTTCATACAGAATGTGGAGGATTGTTGGGAGGGGCACAAAAGAGTTGTGGGTGGCTCCAGGTTCCATTAGCAAGACAGGTTATGATGTTAGTGGAACCTTTCAGGAACCAGTCTGTGATGCAGGAGACAGTGCAGGTGTCTAAGTAGTCATACTGTAATAAACAAATTCTTACATTAATTGTAATGCCGGTAACAATACATGTAGAAAAGAGATCATACTGTAACAAAGAAATTCAAAGATCTTACATTAATAATGCATAGCAGATAACAATACATGTATAAAAGTGGTTATACTGTAAACCAAAAAATTATTATATGTAACCAAGTAGTCACATTGCATAAGACACTAAACTATCCAATGCTCATTGCAACAATATACATGCATGTATATAGGATCACATTTTTGCCAAACAAAGCATGTACTCTTTATGTTTCCATTGTTTCTAAAAAATAATGTTATGAGGTAAAAATTAGTTATTTTCTTAAGATTTCTAAATTTTATAACTTCCACTAAAATTTCATATCTTTGTGACTCTATTTGATGAGGAATAGTGTAAAAGCCCTTTATCATTTGTTAGTATATTAAAAAGCAATTTACATGTTTACAATTTTTAATAATGAACAATTCCTGTAACTTCACACCCCTTTATCCATGATGATGCTAGAGTAAAGCTGAAAAAAAATATCCTCTGACTACATACCCCTTTCAAATGATGCTGTTAAGAAATTTTAAGTTGAAAAACAGTATTCTGACTGCAAATCCCTTTACATATGATGCTCCTAAGAGATCTACAACTATGTCCTCTGACTAAATAGCCCTTCACACATGATGCCCCTATGATGTCTATAACTGTGTCCTCTGACTAACTACCCATTTACATGTGATGCTGTAAAGATGTCTACAACTGTGTCCTCTGACTAACTACTCCTTTACATGTGATGCTGTAAAGATGTCTACAACTGTGTCCTCTGACTGCATACCCCTTTACATATGATGCTGTAAGGATGTCTACAGCTGTGTCCTCTGACTACCTACCCCTTTACATGTGATGCTGTTAGGGTGTCTACAACTGTGTCCTCTGACTACCTACCCCTTTACATGTGATGCTGTTAGGGTGTCTACAACTGTGTCCTCTGACTACCTACTTCTTTACATGTGATGCTTTTAGGGTGTCTACAACTGTGTCCTCTGACTACCTACCCCTTTACATGTGATGCTGCTAGGATGTCTACAGCTGAAAAACTCTGTTCGGGAAGGAGGGCAATATTTAATGGAAGGAAACAAACACTTCACAGGGAGGCAACTGTAGCCATCATCTGACATCCTGTACCCCAGCCGACATCCACAAACCCCCTGGTTACACATCTCAGGATGGTCACATATGGAGTGACAATTTCTTCTCACTACCTGCCAATGAAAAATTGAGTATCCATACACTGAATAATACATAACACAGCAACACCACAAACTTACTGATCTTCCTTTATAAATTTACATTAGAGCTGTAATTAGCCATGTAAAAGGAGGTAGCTTCAATAAAGAAACATAGGTAATCAGAGATTCCGAGGTCACCTCAATGAATGCTGTCTTTAAGTAAGGCAAAGTCCCACATTAAACTAATAATTTAGAAGTGTACATCCCAAAATGCACATTTATGCAATTTTGATCTGACAGGGCTTGCAGTTTCTTGGGAATAGATTATCCATAAACTTCAAACTAGTCACCCATCCAGAAAATGTAATTCAAATCCAGCATCTAAGCAAGTTTGAGAGTGTTCATCCCTTGATGCATCATCCATGCAAATTTGGTTCAGATAGACCTTACAGTTTCTAGTTAATAGACCTGCACCCAAAACTTTAACCTGGTCCATTATCTGGAAAATGTATGTCAGATCAAGCATCCAAAGCAAATCCTTAGTGTGCATCCTTAGATGTATCATCCATGCAAGTTTGGTAAACATAGGGCTTATACATGTAATTACTTTAGAATGAACCTGCTCCAAAAACTTGTTCACTCATCCAGAAAATATAGGTCATATTCAGCATCCGCAGCAAGCCTGGTAGTGTGCATTCTTAGATGTATCATCCATGCAAGTTTGGTAAACATAGGGCTTATACTTACTTGGAAATGCGACCTGCACCAGAAACATTAACCTGCCTACTCATCTGGAAATATAGGTCAGATCCAGCATCCGAAGCAAGCCTGGTAGTGTTCATCCTTAGATGTATAATCCATACAAGTCTGGTAAACATAGGGCTTATAGTTACTTGGAAATAAGACCTTCAACAAAAACTTTAACCTGTTCACTCATCTGGAAAATGTAGGTCAGATCCAGCATCCGAAGCAAGCCTGGTAGTGTGCATCCTTGGATGTATCATCCATGCAATTTTGGTAAACATAGATCTTAAAATAACTTGGAAATGAGACCTACACCAGACTTAAACCTGCTCCAAAAACTTTAACCTGGTCCTTCCTTTGCTGAAATTGCAGCATCTGAAACCTTGACTGGTACAAAGAAACACACTAGAAGCATCTTCCATGCATCCCTGATTAATGTAGGGCATAGAAGTATGTAAAAAGAAAACTGGACAAAAACTTTAACCTGGGACGCCAACACCAAGGGTATCACATAAGCTCCCCCCCCCCCCCCACTTTGTTGAGGTGAGATAAAAATTGTTTCATGTTTCTCCTACTGAAAATGTTTTATAGCTCCAGGTAAGTGATCGACTACAATAATCATTGCTAGCAGTGTTTTTTTTTCCCTCACTGTATCTTGTTATACAAGGTACTAATAGAGTCACCTCTGTATGAGGACATATTGCTCCTTTGCACTGCTGGGCTTGTAAAATCTCCCTGGATCGAGTCTGTTTTCCCCCATTACAATTCCTCTCACATTCTGTCCATTCTCCCCACTCCGTCATCTACAATACATAAAATTGCATGCATTATTTACTCAGACCAAATAAGCACAATAATCTCACATTCTGTCCATTCTAACCTCTCCATCATCTAAAGTACATTTAAATGAATTTTTTCTCTGTGCAGACTAGTGCAATAAATTTGTAAACTGTAATATCCAATTTTTCATATCAGTTTTCCACTTAAAACTCAAAATCTGACTACAGCTGATTCAAAGGCATGGTTATAAGCAAGAAGCATCCCTTGATGATCCTGCAAAATCCATTTAATTGTACTTTATAGTTACCAAGACATAAAGTATACTAAAAAGCATTGAATATTCACAGACAAATAGGAAACAAATCTAACTTTCAGATAGAAATAAATCATATCAATTCAAGAGTTCAATGGTGACCTTTTAGGCATTAAGTGATTTAATTTACTTAAAATACAGTATGACATTTTCCAGGAGATATTTATTTATGAATTTTCCATTTTTTAGTTAATCAACCTCATTTCAATTTTTAAAATGTATTCCTTCATGTTTCAATTTTCGATTTAAAAAAAAAAATTAATTCTACTGATCTGCAGTCACGCACTGCTCAAAATAACACGTCTGATCATTTGAGCCAGCAAAATGAAACAATTCAAAAAAAAATCACCTTCCATTTATCTGACAAATATGATACATTTTAAAGCAACACATTCATCAATATCTGAGGGTTTTTTTCATTAGTGCATTAAATGGGACAAATTACATGTTACTTATAATATAGCTATATTTACGTTATAATATTCTGTTTGGGCAAAATCTTCATGAAACAATTACATGTATGAAGAAAAGAAAAAAAAACAATTAGATTAACAAATATCAATAAATTTTAAGCTTCAGCACAGCAAGCTTTTTCAATTAAAATTAATGTCAAATAATCTGTTTGCAAATAACCTTGTAAAAGAGAGCAATCAAGTCCAAAGCTTTTCGTTGACCTAGACTCGTAAATATGTCGGTGACAACTTCTGAAGCATAATGTGTAATGCAGACAAAAAAAGATCAAATTCTTCTGAGATTCTGCTAGGATTAGACGTCTCAAGAAACATACTGACACACTAAGATAATTTTCTGAAATGTCAGTACCATTGACAAAAGTAATATGACCCACTTATTTAGGAGTGGAAAGAGAGGATTAAACCAGAGACTCATTCATCTAGCTACGGAATGGCTTTTTTTTTGCAATAACAAATTACTAACATCAACTGTAAATTCTAGAAAGGGATATTATTTACAAAGAAAATTGCTATTATCATACATCACAGACTCGCATGAAATTGTGAGCTTCTAAGCCAGTCATCTATAGAAAACGTGTCATCAAAATAATGTTTGAAATGCTGTCTTCTCATTACTAACCATTCCTATCCTACTGAAATCTACCTGTGAAATCTATATAATCACCTAAAATTTGGCCACATACTAAACCATAAACAAAATAAAACTGTTTTAATCAGTGGAGCTCTATATATATGTGTCCCTTTGAAACAAATAATTTCATAAGTATGAAAGACTACTGAGGAATTATAACAAAATCATATCAAAGATACATGATAAGAATTATAGATGTATATAGACATAGAAAGGACATAGAGATGGAACATCGTTACACAATATAGTCTATTAGGTACTATTCCCAGATCCTTTTTTTTTTCAAACATCATAGAGCTATCACAATACTTTATCTCAAATTCCATAAAAAATTATAATTCTAATTAATATCTAAACACAGACACAAAAAGTTATACCAAAGTTCTAATATGACATGAACAAAACAAGTGTTTTTCACTTCATCAGCTATAAATATTCCAACAGAACCTTGCCAAGGGACATCATTTATCTTGGTAATCGTTTGGAGCAAAGTAAGGCTTTGGAATACAAACCACTGCCAAACAAACATCTCATTAACCAGACAATATGGCTGGCAGCTACTCGGGATAATTTTTGTATTTTGCCAAGCTGCTCAACATCAACTAACCAATTAAGGAGAAGATAACCCACAAACATTCAAATATCAATTAGTAGCCATGGTTGTCTGTACCAGAAGTTAACGCTTTAGGCTAACATATGGTGCATTACAATTAGCTTTATATGTTTGTACTCTGTGTTTCAACATAAAGAATTTCTGGTCTTAAAAACTTTCTTCCCAAAAAACTACAGCATATCACCTTCAGGCAGTAATTTCTTGATAAATTCTTGTCCATAATAAGTTTCTATCCTTGAGAAAGAGACACAAACATTTCTTTTTTCTTTTGTTTTCTTCAATTAGTTTCATTTCCTTTAGAGCAAAACATATAACAAAATAATTTTCCTTACAATACAATCTCTAGAGGCTGTGTACGATTCACATTCCCTTGACTCCTCCAAGGTCTGGTTACGGCAGTGTGAACCCCCACAGTAGGCTGGAGTCAGTAGACGCCTGGATCGTATTGAGGACCCCGAGCCACAATTCTCACTACAGGCTGACCATTTCGTCCAGTCTGAGAGCTGGCAATCAATTGTCTTTGAGATTTCACATTCTTCAGATTCAAATATTTCTTCTTTAGGAGGACATTCCGTCCCATTACAGCTTGATGGCACCAGAACTTCCTTCTCTCTAGTTCTGTAAATATAAGTGTGTGTTTTTTTTTTTTAAATTATGCTTCCTGTTTTTTACAGACCGATGGTAAACACTGCTGGTACACTCCAAACCCAAGCTTCATGGTTGGGTGACTATATCATTGTGTGCATAATTATTGAAAATTTATCATATCAAAATCAATGATAGGTCATAATCACAGACACAGCATCAAGCTGTAAAAAAAAGAGTAAAAAGAGAACCCCTCTTTTTTCATCTTCTCTGACTTATTAATCTACTTTGGCCAAATTTAAACAGAATTTTAAGACACTGCTAGGGTTTAATTGATTGACTATTTAGCATTTTACAATGTGTCACTGATACTAAATCAGCCATAATGACATTCCACCCTAGTAATTAAAACAAGAGGCCCATGGGCCACATCACTCACCTGAGCACATTGGCTGGGCAAAAGCACAAATCAGTTCAGTATTGAAAAGATTAGGGTGGGCTTGAATTTTAAACTACATCATGATGCTTCCATGTCAATATAACAAATGGCTTTGTTGTACATGAGGTTTCTAAAAAAAAATTTACGGTAACCATATATTCCTTTGTAAAAATTTGATCCCCCATTGTGGCTCCTCCCTATTCCAGGGGTCATCATTTGAACAAACTTGAATCTTCACTACCAGGGGATGCTTCCAGATCAATATGACTAAACATAGCCTTTTTGTTCTTGAGAAGATTTTTTTTTTCTATATGTTCTTATATAAAATTTTTGATCCCCCATTGTGGCCCCACCCTATACCCAGGGGTAAGCATTTGAGTTGCATAGCTCTCATCAATATCTATCAGCATATGAAGTTTGATAAAAATATCTTGG